TTCCAACGAATCCTCTATCTACATGCAGCCTTAGGGCTGGGCATAAAAAAGGAATCAAAAACCGAACCGAAGCCAAAATAAATAAACTGAATTCACCAGCTTTTGAGTTAGGAATAGAAAATTTGGTTTCTAGATCTGGCTACCCGATTTAGTAAATCCGATTTGGTTCTATAGCCCCGGTTAGCCGTAAAACTGAAGAATCCCGTGTGTGCCCACATGAGCGGGCTTTCAGCTTGTTGATCGTATAGGACTTGAGGCCCAATACTCCAATAGACCTAGTCCATCCCCAAATATGAATTCGATCTAGAAGTAATTAGGAAAGCTATTGTTAAAATGATCATCGAAGATGAGCATCCCTTTGCTCATACGAAAAGGTTGAGTTTTGGAAAATGGTGGCAAAGGCTTGTTCACGTTTCTCTGTGCCCTCTAGAAGGACCACCACTAGAGATGTTGTATGCATATATTTTGGAGAGAAGCCAAGCTCTGTTTTTCCATGAAATCATGTGGAAGAGTGTGCCTCGCAACTGTTTGTTGGACTTCTCAAGAACAAGATAGCTACATGGTAGTCACAACACATTTTATTGATGGTGATTGGAAACTACACAAGAAGGTTATTAGTTTATTCCTAGTAAAGGTCATAAGGGAGAATATAATGAGAAACCCTTAGAGAAAATGCTTGATGGAGTGGGGTATTGACAAGGTTATGACAATAACAATTGATAATCATAGTGCCAATGATGGTGGTGTAACTTACATCTGAAAGAAAATGAGCAAATCAAAAGAAACATTGCTAATGGTAATTCTCCACATGAGGTGTGTTACCCATATTATTAATTTGATCGTTTCTGGTGGACTTAAAGACTCAAATGAGTCAATTAAGCATGTGCGTGGTGCAGTAAGGTTTATCAGAAATGGGAGCTCTAGGTTGACGAAATAAAAAAACCATTGAACTAGAGAAGGTGGACAGCAAGGTATTCTTGAACCTAGACATCTGCACTATATGCAATTCAACAACCTTATATTGAAAGCTGCAATCACTTATGAACAAGTATTTGTAAGGTATGAGGAAGAAGACGCTTTGTATTTAGTTGATCTAAACAATGAGGAAGGTCCCAGACCTTCGGTTAAAATGATTGGGAGAATGCTAAGAAGATGGCATAATTTCTTGGGCATTTTTATGGTGTCACTCTTAGTGTTTCCTCCACACTTCATGTGACTGCCAACGAATTCTTTCACGAGATTGGTGAAGTTAATATGTTGCTGGAAGGATGGGCCAATAGTGAAGATCCTTTGCATAAGGCAATGGCAAAGCGAGTGCAAGATAAGTATTATAAGTATTGGGGACAGTGGCACGAGAAGAGGGACTATATTGAGAGTGAGAACGGGGAGGGGAAAGGGAAGACAAAAATGAAGATGAGAACATGAACTTGCTCATATTTATTGTGGGTGTTCTTGATCAAAGATACTAGTTACACAAAGTTGGCCATTGTTGAAATGTTTGGCAAAGGAAAAGCACCCAAAGTTTGGGATGCGGTGAATGCTTGTTTGAAAGTGCAACTAATCCCTGGGTGGTTTTGGTAATTCATAACAACATATAGATCATTAAACTAATATCCTTTCAACTTGATTATTTCATAAAGTTCAATGATTGGCATGGCATGGACTAGAGATGTGGACCCCTCAAAATGCTAAGGACAAATATTGGCAAAAGCTCAAGACTCTTCATTTCTATTTTAGTGATCCAAGATAACATTGAGTCCATAGGAAAAGCCAATACTATTAAAAGGGGATGAGGTGTTGCTTAATGGTCTACTTGCTAAAAATGCTTAGTGATATGCTCCAAAGCCCTCAACCACTTTCTCTATTCCAAATACCCCCTCTGATTCTATTTACTCTATGCATAACTCTTGACCCGCATACCAAGGAGGGCACTGGTTTGATTTTTCTAGACTAATTTGCCCCTGCGCAACAATGCTCCGCATGAGTATCGGGGGTAGGTATGCATGCAATGGTTGGCTGGTCCTCCTCCTTTTTCGCTACACTTGGCTCCGCAGCACGCCCAGCCCGCATGAGCCAATGTATGCCGTTTCGCTACTGCCTCTTTTCTTGGAAACTGACACAATTAATTAGAGCAGAAGCGGATGGGGCGGGGCACAAAAGGAAACCAACTTTAGGAATCAGCAACGCGCAGACTAATACGAGAAAACTGAGAAAAAGTTATACGGGAAGTAAAAAAAGAATCAGAGGGACTATGTCCTAAACCTAAAGTCAAACTCGGCCCCACCGATTTGATTCATCCGGCGCCACCGAGTTCACTTGACATAGCCATAGCCAGAAACCCTAATCAGTTCGGAGTCATCGATAGGGATCTCGGTCTCACCGAGATGGGATTGCAAACTCTCAGTTTTCCCTTCGTAATGTTTCGGTATCACCGAAAGGAGTGATCGGTCCCACCGAGTTCGCAGTCCAAACTCTCTGTTTCCCTTTAGTAACGTTTCGGTATCACCGAAAGGAGCGATCGGTCCCATCGAGTTTGCCTGACTAACTCTCTGTTAGCTTACTGCTGAAATCGGTCTCACCGAGTTCACGTAATCGGTCAAACCGAGATGAGGTTTGCCCTAACCCTAGCTCACGGTCCTACCGAGTTGATCATGTCGGTCCCACCGAAAAGCCTAACGTTCACATTTTGAACTGAATCGGTCTCACCGAGTTCACTTATTCAGTCTGGCCGAGTTGGCTCAAATATGTGTAACGGTTAGTTTTTGTGTGGAGGCTATATATACCCCTCCACCCTCCTCTCCTTTTATGAGAGAGCCATCCGAACGTGCCTACACTTCCAGCATACATTTTCTGAGAGAGAACCACCTACTCATGTGTTGAGACCAAGACATTCCAATCCAACCACAAGAATCTTGATCTCTAGCCTTCCCCAAGTTGCTTTCCAGTAAAATCATCTTTCCACCGTAGCCAAATCTGTGAGAGAGAGTTGAGTGTTGGGGAGACTATCATTTGAAGCACAAGAGCAAGGAGTTCATCATCAATACGCCATCTATTACCTTTTGGAGAGTGGTGTCTCCTAGATTGGTTAGGTGTCACTTGGGAGCCTCCGTCAAGATTGTGGAGTTGAACTCAGGAGTTTGTAAGGGCAAGGAGATCGCCTACTTCGTGAGCGATGGCCATGGTGGGATAGACAAGGTTGCTTCTTCGTGGACCCTTCATGGGTGGAGCCCTCCATGGACTCGCGCAACCG